AAAGAAGGAAGGAAAAGAAGAAATGGAAGGGAAAAGGTGATAGGGAGGCGCTTCGCGGTCGAAAAGTACTCTGAGACGAAGCTTCTTCATTCGCAGCGAACAAAACTTGCCACAATTTAGCAGATTTTCCAGCGGTGCAAGGTATGAAAGTGGTATTATTTTTAGATGAGTGAAAGAGCAGGATCGAGGGTTTTCCTGTCTATTGTTTTTTTCCATAATAGATCTCACTGCTGAGTTTACTACGTAATCTATCAAGAACCAACCACACCTGCATACTAAGTTGCCCATTTACATTTAGGAAGGAAGCGTCGAGATTTATAAAACGTTTGAGCCTGAATTGATGGTGCAGAAAGAATAGAAATAAGAACAAAATAGGAAGTTTCACATTCGCTTTAGGTTACGTTTAGCACCAATGACCACACGAGTGCACAAGAATCCCTATGTAAAAGTGAGACTACCATCATAGCCAATATCATAGTTCAGATTGGTACACCTGGCTCGCAGCGCGTTCCTTTTTCCGAGCTGCGATTTATTTTTTCCCGCTGTTTACGTTTCCCACTTTTTCCCGTGTCATGTGCGCTATACCCCGTCCCCCTTAGTCGATGGCGGTTTTTGTTGGGAAATTGGAAGAATAGGAAAGTTTGAGAAGATGGTAGGTAGAATGGGGAAGAGGAAGTCGTGCTGACACCGCCATTTCACACATCAAAATGTTATGCCCTGCGTCCTTCCCCCGCCCCCCCCCCCTCCCATCTTGGGCCTAGGCAGGGGTCTAGAATTTCATTGAAGTCTTGCTAATGCTCCCATCCTGTCCCTTTCCCAAAGTTACGATTTTTCTCTTGGGGTTGCACTAAATGAAATGTAGCCTGAGTAATGTTATTGCCATATATCGTGCATATGTAGCTAGTAATGTGGGCGTTAGTTTTCATGAATTAATCCCCTTGTTTTCTGTTTGCCGTCGTGTAGCTCCGCAAATGGCAGCGACACTTATGACTAGCGACCATCGAACGTTCAAGGCAGCTGACTGCAACAAGGGGCGTTCGTCACGAAAACAATGAAGAAACACCATTGTCTACTAGTGTTTTTGAAGAAGCTTTTTAAAATTACTGCAGTTCTGATATTTAGGAGCCTACGGTGAAGTGCACTTGATCAGCAATCCTTTCAATCGAAAATACATCCCAAATGATGTTATTGCGTTGAAAGTCATCGATCTTGAACATAGACGAGAAGGATCAAAACAGAAATTCCGAAATGAAGTGAGTAATCCCTTGAATTTGTGAATTTTAATACTTTGCCTTTTCATTTCTAACAATTGTTACATGCGGTGCTGCAGAGTGCATAATGCGGCACCCATGGCAGGAGCGATCTTAGTTGACCAACTTTACTCGTTCTCGTTGCTCACGAAGACAGAGGTACCCTTTAGTATTTCTGCTCTGTCAGATAGGTCTAATGATATTGCTTTTTGTTTGGTTTGACCCCATTTTGAATGTCAATTAGGCGAAGAGCAACCAAGGCACAGCGTATGAGTGGAACTTCTAGTCAGAAGGCCACTAAAGGTATAGGGCACGATAATGGTACTCGGCCTTAAATGGTAGCAGGGGTGCTATTCAGTGGGAAAAGACGGAAAAGCGAAGTGAAACGGTCAAAAACCTGCGAAAAAAACCTTTGTTCTACACGATTCAGAGAGCGATTTCGCACGACTTTCCAGTTGGCATCGTGAAATAACCGCCACAGCAGATACGGCTGGATGTAATTATATATCCATGCAGCAGTGCAGCTGCTTCATATCAATCCCTTCGCTCATATTGTACTTCGCAAATGAAGCGATACGAGCACCAGCATCGGTCGGACATTTGTGGGCGGGCGAGCGCGGTGTGCGCCCGGTCAGTATGTTGCAGGTAGGGCGCTATAAGGGTACATTCATTGGGAAAGGCACCACGCGGCGCCTGCTCAGGGGCGCCGAAGTCTGTCCTGCTACGCGTGTTAATCCTACACGTCTTGGGGATTTATCGTGCCACTTGCCTTTAATGTGTTCAGGAGACGCGTGCCATTTGCAGGATTTAGACTTGGTGAGAAACAACTAGTGGTTGTATTTAAATGTGTTTTGTCAACTAAAGAGAAAGAAAGGTCGAGCTAATGTTCCACTTTCACGCTGTGCGCTGAAAAGCATGAAAAATTCTTCGGAATGGAATCATATTTTCGCTTTAGGTAGCACTACAGAATGCGTTAAGTCCACAACGACATCCGAATATCGTCCAATGTTTTGGATCAAATTACGAACTAGAATTGAATCAACTACAGATTTTCCTCGAATATGTCAACGGAGAAGATTTGCGGACTATTATTGGTGAGTGCGAGCGTTATCGCAAACCTATTCTTATAATCAGTAGCGAAAAAAAACTGTAGCAGACCTAAAATCGCGCTTTTAAAGGAGTGTATAGGATCTTCTACGATTTGTGCACGACAAATTATTTTGCCAAATAAAACATCCCA